GTCCATATTTGTTTTGTTATTTGCTATATCCAGTTGGTAATTTTTTTCCTTACACAGACTCCATATCATTTCTCTTTGTAGTAAATAACAGTGCGAGAGAGAGAGAAAAAAAAAGTAACCTTTGATTATTTGTGTTATACATCTCATTTTTTCGTGATTTTCAATTTCACATAATACAACCTGTGCCGCAGGTCACAGTGGCCAGGAATACGGTGCGCAGTATGGAAATGGCGTCCTCCCTGGTTCCGGCGCTCTTCCAGTCACTCCTTACACATGTTACATTCCACATTAGTTTATCGATGGGAATAATGCTTAAGCCCCCTTCTAATGCCAAATGAGTCAAATCACACTCCAAGAGGTTTGTTCACACATGACGAGTCTTTTCCGTCACCCTGGCCTTCACTCATGATGGCAGTTCGTGTCACCCGGGCTGCGGCCAATTTGCCTGGTTGACGGAATGTTCATGTCACCCGGGCAGCTACCCAAGTTTTTCCTTTTTCATCCGGGTCCAAGGAATTAATTCTTTTGCATAAAATTACATGTAGAGTGTACTCCTATCTCCTTCCCCATGTCCTTTACAGAATTCTCTAATGCCCCTTTTTCTTTTGAAATCTGTTATGCATTACAGTCATTCAACATTCAACATTCAACAAATGCAGTACCTAGAATATCACAACCTTATCTCACCAAATCAGATTGCGTTTTGTCATGGCCAAAGCACAGCTGATCCTCATACTTATTTAGAGACACAAATCACATCAGCATTTACACACCTTAAATCAGTATTAGCTATCTTAGATTTAGAAAAGGCACCAGTCGTGGTGTATCTCTCGTAGGACTAGGATGTGTTTACAGTACTGTCCATAAATGTGAGGTCCCTGAATCCTGTGTTTACCCGCCCCTATCTGACCTTGGACAGGGAGCGGGTCACCTCCTACCAAGGTATCAGCATGGCTAGTGTTGCTAGTGGAAGTGGAACCCATAAGAGGGTAAGAAGTGATGGAAGCGTAGACATGAGTGACGAGAATGGATGCGAGTGGGAGAAGAGGAAGAAGAACGACGGAAACGAAGCAGCAGCCCAGAATGTTGCCGGTGTGAACGGCAGGAAAAGACTGCTATTTCCACAGGACTGTGCCTTGAGTTTCTTAGAAAAATTAAGGTGGGCCATGCAACTGGGCCGGGACCACGCTGATTTCGAGCCAGTGATGAAGGAAGGAAAAGGAAGGCTGTATCTCACTGTGTGGGCAAGCCAGGCGGTGCAGACGCTGACGACTCAGGGATATAAGGGGACAGTGATAACTGTCCCAAAGGCTGGGGAAAAGTTCACCAAAGTGATAATTTTCCGATATCCCACTATATTAGACCCGGACTTCCTTCTGGACGACGATAGATTTGTGTGGGTAAGGCGGCACACGTCCAGAGGCAAGGAGCGGAGTCAGCTTGTTGCCCTTGTGAAGGGGGAAGTGCCAGAGAAGGTATTTATCTCTGGAGCCGGGTACAGGAGGGTGGCACCGTATGTAGAGCAGCCAGTCATGTGCCTCAAGTGCTGCAGATGGGGCCACAAGTCGTGGGCCTGTCAACAGGATGCTCGATGCAGGTTCTGTGGCAGGACACATGACTCAAGAGTCTGCCGGGCCATGATTGAAAAGGGGGAAAGGGTTACGCCTTGCTGCTGCAATTGCGGAGGGCGCCACAATGCCGGGTCTCCTGCATGCAGGGTGAGACCACAAATCAAGATTGCTTCGGCGGTCCCCAAGGAAGGAGAAAATTGAAAAAGGCCGGTCACCACGCGGCCAGAGGTGCCGAGGGAGGAGACAGCTGTTGTCCCTAATGCCTGAGTGCAGGAACCACCGCGGGTGGTGCCGTTGCCAATGGCTTGTGATGACGGGCAGGACAGACAGGTGCAGGAAGTGGAGGAAGTGCCGCGGAGTAGTGATGCAGATTTTTCTAAGGAAATATCCATAATTACCAGGATGTTCCAGACACTGATGCAGAGAATGGACGCTATCGAAAGGAAACTGGCCCTGGTTCCCAGCGAAGAAACGAAAAAACAGAAAGGGAGGGATGAGGCATCGAAAGAAACTCCGACTAAAGACACAGAAACGAAACAAACATGTATTTCTGCAAAGGAGCAGGATTCAGAAAGTGAGATAGTTATTAGAGGGAAGGAAAGAAAAATAACAGCAAGTGTGGAGTACAACGATCACGAAAAAGAAAAACTCTTGGATCGATGGGAAATTAAACAAACTTAATGAAAAAAGCTTAATGATATGCTAGAAGAATGGAAAGGCAAGGTAATGCATAGTGGAGTCTTATAGCATTATTGTTTAGACTTCAGACCGGATTTCACAAAATATGTATGACAAAGAACAGTTGACCTGACCGGGGATGACCTGAGTGCCTGTCCTTCACAAATAACAGCTGCACACACAGGTCGCCTACGGTACCTCACAGCTCATCAGTGAGTGTGTGCATGAACTTTCTCTTTTATAGACCATGACTCTTAATATTTTTGTTTTTGTATTTTATGTAATTATCTGGTAATACACCTAATTTTTTATATGAGAACTGTGAGCCCACACAGGGACTTATCAAGATAAAGGTGAGGATAACATACGTTACCACATCCTTTTGAGATGTAACCTTTTGTCTCAATAAACTTGTCAAAGTCAAAGTAGAAAAGGCATATGGGGGCACCATATCCTTCAATTACTATCTTCCCATGGCATATGTGGAAACGAGTGTTTTCATGTCCTTTCTTTTCATGTCCGATTTACTTCTACTTCTTCTTTCCCTCAATTTGAAGGTATCCTACAAGGCAGTGCGCTCAGCATAGCATTATTCCTCATTGCTGTAAACTGATTAGTTTCAGCTCTACCACCAGGAATGCAGTCATCAATGTAAATATATGGCCCTTCCATGCCTGTTCTCCATCAGACTTCTCAGTCTGCAATAAGAGCAATCTTCTTGGGCCACCAACCACGTCTTTCAATTTTCTACATCTAAAACCTTTTCCCTCCTATTTTCTCGTTCATGTACAGGCTCCCAACCTGCATTCTTTCTGTATGATGTTCCCATCCAATTTTGCTCTTCAGGCAAGTTTCATTTTGTAATTTTTGACTCCAAAACTGTATTGGTTAGATCATATCCTTTTTGTTTGACTTTTACAGATGCTCTCACATATGTCCTTACGTTCTGACCAATCCACCATCTCTATATTACTCAATTTTCTCCACCCTTGATTATGGCAGTTATATATAATTTGCCTCTGCCTCCCTTGTCACACACCTTGACGCAATCCACTTTTACATTTTTTGTTTAACTCACTGGCTGCGGTATCCCGTAGCATTATTTATTTCCTAAAACATTCTACTCGGGTAGCGCATAGGACTGTGCTGGAGAGTGCGCACTGTGGCAGTGCTGCTTTCCCTCCTTCACACATGTGTTTATATTTGTATATAAGAAAAAATATATGTTTGCATATGTTTTTTATAAACCCTTGCAAATATATGCAAGCAAGCAAACATATGTAAATGCACTCAGAAAGAGTGGAGGCCCTGGTTTTAGCACGCGCTAAAAGCATTTAACTCCTTTGGCGTGTAACACCCCATTGCCTGTGCAGGCCCAGGGCGGCAGGCCTGGGCCTTGGAAGGCCACTAGGGGGACATCAGCTTGGTGGCTGATATCCTATGGCTCAGTTAGCTCCCAGACTGCACGGATGTCCATTGGTCCAAGGGATCAGCCGTTAATTGCACTTTGCATCATACGATGCCATCCGCTACCAATGGATTGACCCTAACCACCTTTCAATCCGCTCCAGTTGAGAGTCTATATACTGAATCAGGCCTCCATATCCTTCTTGACGTCCTGCTCTTTGCATCATACGATGCCATCCGCGACCGATGGATTGACCCTAACCACCTTTCAATCCGCTCCAGTTGAGAGTCTATATACTGAATCAGGCCTCCATCTCCTTGAGATCCTGCTCTTTTGTCTGTAAGAAGCTACATTCGTTTTCACCAATTTTCTCACTCCAGGCTAACTGTCCCTCAATCCCTTCATACTTTCTCCTCCTCACCACATTTACCTGCCTTTTTTCCTGTTCGAATGGATGCTCTACTTTACTATTCACCCATTCCTAATCTCCGATCTCTTCCTCTTTCTGCCCAGTCTCCCTCCCTGGTTAATACCTTCTTCCCTCTTTTTCCTCCACTCACAACATCCTCACATCTTCTGTCCTCCTTGCACATTTTCTTGCACATCTCCAATAACTCTCCAGGATCAGACTTTGGTACTGGTTTTGTATTCTTTTCCTTCCCACACATACAATTTCCTTCTGCTGAATCAGCTGAACTATATGCTATCCTCTTCGCTTTAAAATGCATGTCTACCTTTTACACCTTCATTTTACTCCACAACTCGATGACTATCAGTTGTGAGGCATAACAGAAAACAGTTAAGTTTTCATGCCAGCATATTTTCCCTGAGCATAGAAACATAATTATGTTCAACCTTGTATCAAGAGTGTGGGGAGTTTTCTTCAATAAAAAATTTCATTGTTATTTTGAAAATGTTTTTTCCCAACATTTGCAATTTTTTTTTTGTCCCACACTTTTTTTACAATTTAGTGCGAATTTCAGTTTAGTGAATATTCATTATTTTAACAATCCATTCTTCTTACCTCCCCCTTCATAATTCCTTATTACTTCTTTAATAGGACATACTACCGTTTACAATTCGACAGGTTTGATATTCCCAGTAGAAAGAGCGATATTCAGAAGAGAGGCGCCTGTATGAGAGTAGAAAGATGGAATAACATTGACCATTTTTTCCTCATCCTCTTCCTCTTTTTTCATTTGGTAAATAGGATAAAAATAGATTGTAAGTATGGTTTCTTTGTTGAATATTTATTTCCTATATACATTCATCTACAAACACAGCTTCGTCTACACATTTTACAGTAAATGGAAGTTGAGCTGAATGAAACCTTTAATATAATGAATCAAGATGAAAACTTGTTTGAATTTTCCCCCATAAATATATATATATATGATGTATACATTCCTATTGTCCAACATGAAAATGATAATTAAATGCTGAACACGCAAAGCTAAAAGGCATAGTACAAAAAAAGAGAAAAATATCAGAAACATTGAAAAAGGTGTAATGGAAACATTTGTTTTTTAAGTACCAGTGTCCTTTCCCCCCCCACCCATACTTTTTGTAAAAATATATTGCACTTTTTATCCAGCATATAATGGATATTATAAACATGAATAAATATTTGTCTATATTTTTTTTATTTTTATAGATTATTCCAACCTTTGCACATATTCATCTTTTGTTATATGGGCAGTAAAATGAAAAGAGAACCAATTTTGTTCTTGTGTTATAATTAGTTCTTGTGATATAAAGTATTTCAACAATTATATAATGATGGCAAGATCGGTCTTTCTTCTGTATATTCTTTAACATTTTTATAACAATGTATTAATGCCCATTTCAACTTCAGAGATGGATAATCAAAACAATATATTATTGTCATCGACAGTAAATGTCCGAGTAAAATCTAAACAATTCCAAAATAAAAATGGGGTACTACAACATGCAATATTTTTCCTAAACATTTAAAAATCAAGCTAAAAATTGGAAACTCCAAATACAGAAATGAAAATTGAAGAACCATGGACTAGGTCATCATTTTAGCACAACCCACACATTGGACACTTTTTGAACACTTTTTCTGTCTCTCTCTCTCTCTCTCTACATAAAATGGCATAAATAGTGAGCAAATTTCATTCAGTACTTTTGACAGTAACAGACAGCTTATGAGTATGATGCTGAGAGAGCTGTGTAAAGATAAAAATATATATATAACATGACTAAAGGAACAGTTTAAAAGCACACAATAGCTTTATAGTATAAAATTTACTTAGGAATGATTTGATGACCTTGAAGTGAGCAAAAAAAAGGTCATGGATGATTATGAAAAAAAATAAATTCTTAAAAAAAGAACAAACCTTAGTTTCTTCCTTTAAAAAAAATAATTTACAACAGCACAGAGTATTCGCTGATGATAACAAATTGCCTTTGGCTTGAATAATGACAGTACAAGGGAAGCACATTTTTTTCCTTCTTGTCAAAACAGCAAACTGCACAAGCCTTGAATGCAGCCAACTGTTCAAGTCTCTTATATAACAGACATATGCAGAAGAACAAAAGAATGCTTTATGTGGCAGGAATATTATCCTCTGAAAAAGAGTTGGCCCCATAATGGAGGGGAAATGAGAAAGAAGAATCTATCTACATCCTGTCCTTTTCACTTTATACACAGAAAAAACTGCAATCTGCAAGTCTGACAGGACATGATAATACTGGGGGTTGCAGAGGAGCTCAGGAGAGGGGCTGTCATACTGGGGTCTGGTTTCTTGGCGACATGGGTGCATGGCGTCCCTGGTAGAATTGAAGCAATCTCTCGACAGTTATGGCCACACGCACTGTCCCTCTCTCTTCCAAAATGTCATGTGCACTGCAAGTGTAGTCCTGTGGAAGGGATGAAGAATATTAAATATATATATATTACCAATTTTAAAATAAAGGGGCACTTTAATTAATTCATAACTTACTTAGCCCATTGAAAAGAATTAAACCTACAGGAATTCACAGTGATTTTTTTTTAATATAAAACAAAAATTTTGCTCAGAATAATAAATACTTACTTAATCTGTTAGGAATTTAATACTAATGGTGTTAGAATTACACATGTTGGTCACATTTTTTATTATTCATACATCACAAAGTCCATTACACTTGTTAAATATTGGTGATTACAAACTTTCTTTGATAATGATGACTATCAAATTCCTGTCCCATGAAATTCATTCTGAATCAAGATCCATTACAAACAGATCTTATGATCAAAAGACTGTATAGGCACATCAGTCTCACTTTTAACAACTCTCCAGCTCAAAATCATGTGCAGTATATATATATATATAAGTTCTACATAATTATGTGCACCTGGAACATGAGAGATGAATACTTGGAATTCATAATAAGCAATATGATAAAAGTGTCCCATTAAAAAAAACGGAAGAAAGAAAAACATACATCTGGTAGCAGATACAAAAACTTGTCCCATTAAAATCGTTACATTGTAAGACTTAATCAGCCTTCAAAAATATTTAACCCCAAATTTGCACCTGCTACCAAAAATGTGAGCTACCTAGAAATTAAACAAAAAATACTATTGGGTCAATAATGGATGCCAATGTGAATATGAAATTTCGAGTAATTTGTATCTTAGAAATATTTCAATTCAATATAATATCATTTGGTGAAATATTTTCTGAAATGCAACACTTCACATTTTCATGAAGAAAATTACTCGAAATCTCATATCATAGCAAATAAGCAACCCTATTAAGTACAAAGGCATATATAATATATATCAGTTGAGCCAGCTATGACTAGTGCAAGTGCCTTAACATTGCAATGAAACGATAAGCATTTGTTAAGCTGCATTTAATCCTTTTATAAAAATCATCATTCAAATGCTATGTAGATGCTTTCAAACAAATATATATTCAAAAGAGAAAAATCATCCCTTGCATAAAGTTCATTAAATAATATCAATCATAAGACTGTTCATCACACTTTTAATCAGGTTCTATCCATAGTGAGAGAACAATCACCACTAAGTACACTTCAAGACACACTCGTAATCCAACTTACAGAAAGTGTCACAAGTTCTTTTCTCGGAAGGCAAAATGTGGCGAAATAAGTTTTAACAAGTGGAAGTGAAGTGCTTGGTCTTTAGACGGTAACAGTGGGCTTCATATCCTAAGCACCTTTATGGATATTTATGTTCTGGGACTAGACTTCCTTGGCTCATACAAGGAGTATACACTATATAAATAACTAAAGGTTTACACTGATAATATCACAGGAAAAATTCTTTATATCATTTAGCTGCATATACGGCAATTTCAATTTGATACAAAGATCCTTCAGTTTTATATTGTTCCAAAGACTAAATACTAAGCAAAAAAATTTGATTTTCATATTTTTTTTATAATAAACTTAATAAATATACATGCCAATCTTTATATATATGATTTAGAATTAGTAATAAATTTCTTTATTCTGATATGGAAATGTGTCATGGATCATGGGTCAATCAGATTTAAAGTTCCTGAAGCAATTAAGTCAGAAAGAATGTTTATGTAGCATATCAAAAGAGGATTTATTTACAATTAGGCACACTCATACTGACTAAAAACCATGGACAGCATGAAATCTGTCCAACAGTGAAAGGGCAAGGGAGGTGGGAGGAGGGGTACGAGGAACTTAGCTTGACACATAACAGTGCATTGCAAGGAATAAAAACACATTTATGAAAAAGCTTGTGTTTACAGAATTAGTCTGGAAGAGAGAGCAACTAGTCTCTACAGCTGATGGCATGCATTTTGGATTGCTGCATCATGGTACAGAAGATCTTGAATTCACTCATTTTAAGGCAATCAAAAATAGTGAACTCTAATATTATTTCTTTTAAGAGCCCTGTTTTCATTTTCTGTCCTCTATTATAAATATTGTAACTAAATCAATCAATCTATGTTGGAAACTTTGATTTGTTTTCCTAATATAAACTTAACATAATCCTAGAGTTTTAATGTTAGTACATTACCTTTAATAAATGCATTTCTTTGAACTGATAATGTACATAACTTAAATGCCAGGATTTCCTATCCTACTGGCCTATATTTCTTGATTTTATATCATTAAATGACTATAATATGGACACTTTTACTACTACTAAATTTTGGACAATATTGGAATGTCAGAATCATACAAAGTAATACAATAATGTCATAAACAAAGCAAAATGTCTCCAGCCGGATGTTTAGATCCATATCCAAAGAAAAGCCTTTTTGTTTCATTTCAGTTGCTTTGCAATGCTATAAAATTTACTGTAAAATATATTTGCAATTTTCAAATATTTTCTATTTTGTTTTCACAAAATATGTGGCACTGCCTATATGCTCTTACACATAAGTAGACTGCCTAAAATGCTTACATACATATGCATACCTTCCCATACACACAGCCATGGACAATTCACATTCGGAGTGAACAAAAATAAAAAGTTCTAACAGTAAAATTGTATACTGTTATTTCTCAGTAAATTACTAATTCTCAATCTGTAAACTTCAATAGAACTTTCCACATAAAACACACCCAATGGCAATAGACTGTGTGAAGCAATAAGTTCATCCTTGCTGGAAAAAGTTAACAGCTAGGGGTAAACTTGGCATAACTGGAGGTGAGAAAATATGTACCACAATTATATATTCTTAATATTATATCTTGTCAAAGCTGTATTTCATGACACATATTAGCAGAAGCCAAATAAAAAGCTGGAATGTTGAAGTAAATACTTTTTAACCCTATGATGACAGGGCCCAAATTTTTTGTGATCTAATATTACACAACAGTCTAGACTTTGTGGCTTGGCCTAAGCTGTGTACAGCTGGCCCACCTGTTGGAAGTCAAGAGGTGTCTATACATCATGATGTAATGTCTGCCATTACATCATGAAAGCTATAACTGTACCCATCTCTGAAGGGTTAATTATCAGTAAACAAAAACATTGTCAGGGCCTCCAGTATCAGTAGGTAAGCAATTCTCACATTCATTATTTCTCTTACATCTATCACTCTCATAAAATGATTTATCAGATCTTTTCCACCTACCACAACATTCATAAATGAAATACAAGGAAAATAATGTTATCCAATTTCTTCAGATCTATAATTTCAAACTACCTACCTGAACAGAGATTCAATAAAAAAAAAAATCAGAACATGTTACAAATGAGAAAGAATTACTCCACCTAACTAACTACCTACTTTTCCCTGTTATTCTGGTTTTCTTCTCTAGTTTGCTATCATTCAATAAATTATTTACATAAATTCAAACTTACTAAATAAACTACAAA